TCAAAGAGACCCAGAGCTGCCCCTGGAAGACCTGGGACCTCTTCTGTGGCCTGAAGCCACAGCCGAGCCCCAAACTGGCTCCAGCAAAGACAACCACGACAGTAGAGCAGGATGACACTTTGGAAGATGTAGAGAGGCTGGCCTCTGGAAAGGCCACCGAGACAACAGAAAGCAGAAAGTGGCGAGACACCTCAGAGAGGCCCTTTGGGAAGTGCTTTGTCAACATCTGTGCAATCGTCCTGCTCATGTTCGTGATCCTCAGCCACATCTACTATATCTAAAGTAGCACAGCCTATGGGTGTCCACGACAGGCAGATGCCGCCTCCCCAGTCTCCCTCCTCAGGAAGGGCATGAAGTACTTCCCAACTAGAGACCCACGGGTCTGAGGCCGAGGGTTATACTAGTGAAAATGCTCCCTCGGGGTCCTGCATCAACTGCCACCAGCTGTAGGACACGCATGCTATCGGGCAGGATGGAGCGAAGTCCACTCAGGATGACAGAGACCAGGCAAATGGGAACATCTGTTCCTTTATGAAATGAGTCATTTTCTCCAAATGGCTCTGCTGCATAAACACTGACTTTCACTTTAAATTTAATTTTGGCTTTTCAACTCTCGATATATTTGGGATTTTTGCTTGTGTTTACTGTCACCATTTCTTTCCTATAGCCAAGCTCAGTTGCTTTGTTCTCTCCGTGTGCTCAAAGGCAGGCCCTGTGGCAGAGGCGTTGTGTGAGTTCCACCTACCCCTCAGGGGTTCTTGCCCTCAGGTGCTGTGCCCAGCGCTGATGACCACAGGCCAGGGGGCACCAGCTGTTCATGGAAAGAAGCTCCCCCCACCCCCGCCTAGACCAAGCATGGGGCTGAGACAGCCTCTGGTCTAACGGAACAGGCCTCGCAACTAGGCACTGTCTGGCCTATGCCGCTGCTTCCCTTGGAGGACAGATGAAGAGGAAACTCCCACCCTGCCAGCTTACCCAGTCACACTCCAGTCTGCCTGGCACAGGGATGTGATTGGGAGTTGGGCCCCTGTAGCTATCAGACATAGGCCACTCTGTACAGGCCCCTAAACCTCTCCTTCCTTCTAGACCACAATAAATGATTTATGTCTTTAGGGAAAGTTTCAGGTGCTTCAAGTGATTTCATCACAGGAATCACAGCCTGAAAGTACATTCATATGACTAGCCTTCATCTCTCCTTTAATCCTTCAGTGGGCATTTTTGAGTTCCTGCTATGTGGCAGCCTCTGTGTTGAGCTCTAAGGAAATAGCTGTGAACAGAGCACATGGGAACTGTTCTCTGGAGTGCAGGTCTGCAGGGAAGACAAACAAGCAGTTGCAGCTTCAGCCAGTACTTTGTCTGGCTTGTTGTTTGGTGGCCTAGGGTAAATGCATTACTACATTCAAGCCACCAAATCACTCTGTGGAAGCATAAGAATTAACCACATTTCACAGGGAGGAAACTAAGACTCAGCAAGGGAACCTAGCAACAGGGTGGGTGGAAGGCTTGCAGCAGCCTTGCCTGACAGCCAGGCTGTGTGCTGGCCCACCACCTGGTGTGCAAGCTGCAGCAGTGCCCAGCAGGGAGCCCCACCTAGCCTCAGAGTCAGGGAAGAAGGAGAGCAGCTGACTGGATATCAGAAAGGACACAGGAGGAAGACAGGAGGAAAGTGTGCACATAGCATGTGCGTGCAGAACAGGTGACCGCGGACAGTCAGAGGCCTCACCAGCACCCCTTCTATGCTTTGGAGGCCTATGTCCTTGGGGGCTTAGTCAGGAAAGTGGCTGCTGCTGAAAGAAGAAAGGAAAGCGGGAACATCCACCAGAGGCCTGCTGGAGCAATGTAGGCAAGTCAGTGGCAGAGAGGCAAAGAGAAGGATCTTTGGAGGGAGGGACCGGGGTGACCCTCAGGCTTCAGCATATGGTCAAAAGAGACAGGCCACACTGAAGAAAGAGCAGGTATGGGGAAGGACGGGCTTGTTGCTGGCATGGCATGTGGAGTTTGAGCTGCATGGAGATGTTTATTACCATCTTGAGGATATTAAGTCTTACAGTCCATGAACATGGGATATCTTTCCTGCATGTTTAGTTTCTTTAATGTCTTTCAACACTTTTGTTTCTAGTGTACAAATCTTGCACTCCTTTTATTAAATTAATTCCTAAGTATTATGTGATTGCAAATGAAATAGTTTTCTGAATTTCATTTTTGACTGGGTCATTGCTAGTATATGGAAATACAATGTTTTGTATATTGATCTTGTATCTAGAAACTTTGCTAAACGTGGTTATTTATTCTAGTAGTTTTTAAGTGGATTTACTTGGGATTTTTCTTACACAAGCTCATATAATTTGTGAACAGAGAGAATTTACTGCTTTCTTTACAATCTGGATGCCCTTTATTTCTTTTCCTTGACTAATTGCCCTCACTAGAACCTTCAGTACAATGCTGAATAGAAGTGGCAAGAGCAGATGTCTTCTCCTGTTGCCAATGCTGGGAAAAGCAGTCAGTTTTCATCTGAATATGATGTCAGATGAGTTTTCACAGATGTTCTTTTTTTTTTTAAGGCAGGTGTGAAACAAAGTTTATTGAAGAAGAGAAAGATAGGCTTACAGAGTAAGAAAACTCACAAAGCAGGATACATCCGCCATGGAGAGCAAACAGACTGCCATTGTCAGGGCAGCAGGCGTAGAGGCCGCAGATGCTCTTTACCACATTGAGGAAGCCCTCTTCTATTCCCAGTTTGCTGAGATTTTGTTTCTATTTGGGTTTTTCTATTTTTTTGTCTTTTCATTTTTGTTTTGAGGCACTTTCTCATTCTGTCTCACAGGCTGGAGTGCAGTGGCATCATCACAGCTCACTATAACTCCTGGGCTCAAGTCATCCTCCTGCCTCAGCCTCCTAAATAGCTGAGACTACAGGTGCCCACCACCATACCTGGCTAATTTTTCTACTTTTTGTAGAAACAGGGTTGGTCTCTTGCTCAGGCCGGTCTAAAACTCCTAGCCTCAAGCGGCCCTCCTGCCTTGGCCTCCCAGAGTGCTGGGATCATAGGCGTGAGCCATCATGCCTGACCTGTTTCTGTTTTTAGTAATGGACGCAGTGCTGGATTTTGTGGACTGCTTTTTCTGTATCTATTAAGATGATCATGTGACTTTCATCCTTTATTCTACTGATAGGTTGTATTATATTGATTGATTTTCATGTACTAAACCAACTTTGCATTCCTGGGATAAATCCCAGGTGATCATGGTGTATAATGTTTGTATATGTTGCTGGATTTGGTTTGCTAATATTTTGAGTTTTTGTCTCTATAATCATAAGGAATATTAGTCTATAGTTTTCTTTTCTTATGATATCTTTGTCTGGTTTTGATATTAGGGCAGTAGTATTACCCTCATAGAATGGGTTGGGAAATATTTTCTCTCTTCTGTTTTTTGGAACTGTTTGTGAATGTTTGATATTAATTCTTGCCTGGAGATATTTAAGGGTAGATGTTAAGGTATGGAACTCAAGAGAGAGGCTGGGGCTGGAGACCCACATTTGAGGGAGAAAAGACAGAGGGCAGGCCCAGTGAAGAAGGGAACCTAGGAGAGGAGATTCGGGAAACGAGAGGAGAGAGCCTAGAACACAACTGTGAGAAACACCAACACCACTGGTCATGTAGAGAAAGAGGAGCCCAAGAGCAGTCTTACAGCAGGGAGGGTGACCTCGGCTGGATCCTGTGGCAGGGTGGGGCCAGCCTCCTGTGTGTTGAGGCAGAACCGGGACATGAGGATATGGGGAAGTGAAGCCTCTTGTGTACCTGTTTTCCTGAAGGAGAAAAGGTTTCCCCTTTAGGGCCTTTCTTGAGGATGGAATTAAACCTGAAACCCTAGCTGGGCCCAGCAGCCTATCCCTTTCAGAATATGAGGACTTGTTTGGGCCTTTGTCCCTTAATTCCAGGGACATAAAGTTCTCTGTTTCTTCTGGGAAAGCGATGGCCTCTGAGGTTTACTGAACGGACTATGAGAAGAGGCTCGCTTTGGGATTGTGGTTTTGCTGATAATGTTTATTCTGGGAGGAGCAGGCATTCCACAGGAAGCATGGCTGCTGGGTGGTGATGTGCATGAGGGAAACTTCATCAGAGACAGGGAGTCTCAGAAAGCTGCTGGGGAAAGATTAAGGCTCAAGCTCAGCTGCAAAGGAAAGGACCCAGCCCCAAAGCTGAGCTCTGCTCCCACAGCTCCTCCAAACAAGGTCAGAACTTGTTCCTCTCCCCCAGAGCTGGGAGAAATGGCCTTGCCAGGATAGGAAGGGACTCTCCAGGTTACTCCCCAACCTCATCCCCACAGCCAAGGCCCTCTGTATCCCACTTCTCCCCCCACCCCCGCCCAGCTCTCCTTCTCAGTTGCCCAAGATCTCCAGCTGGACAGTGGTGAGTGGAGGCACAGGTGGAAGGCTCCCCAGAAGGCTGCCTGGGATCCCAGCAGGCCTAATCAGGAGAGGCTTCTGGCCAGCCTCTGAGCATGCTCAGGTAACTTCCTTGCTTTCGGGAAGATCTTATGAGAAGATCTCCTGAAGAAGCCTCTCCCCTTCCTTCCTGCCACACCCCAAGGGCCTGATCACTCAAGTGTCCAGTGCTTGGGTGACACATGGTCCATCTGTGTCCCTACCTCCCCCAACCCAAGTCACTGCCCCCAGCCTTGTGCCTGAGGGCTCATTCCCGCTCTCTACCATCAAAGGAGGGCTTCTGACCCTAGGAGAGGGCACAGCTTGGAACCCACCTCCCACCCATCCCCAGCCCTGGGGTGTGTTGTAAGAAAAACTTTGTTTGAGCCAAAAAGCCTCAGAAAGCTCCCTATGGTCCCTAGGACCCAGTCCTTCAGCACCTGGCATCTCCCGTTTGGTGAGAGAGGGGACATGACCATGGACAGGAACACAAAGTGCCACTTGGGCCCAAGATAAAGAGATTCAGCCTTTTATTCCGGATGGAGGTAGCTTATCAGGACTGCCCCAAGAAGGGTTCAGGGTTTCCACTCGATGACTTTGAGGGCAATCCGGGCTGCCTGCTGTAGGGCCTTGTTGGGCTCCCCCCGGAGGAAATGGAAGACATGTAGGTGGGACTGCAGAAATTTGCGGCCCTCAGGTGCCTCGGCCAGCATGGTGAGGGCCTTGGTGGCGTTCAGACGCACCTTATGCATGGGTGAGCACAGCAGGTCCAGGAGCGGGCTGATGGCATCTACGTCCAGGGCTGCATACTTCCCTGTGTGCCACCAACACAGGGTGTTCCTAACAGCCCGGGGGGGAACTTTGCCCACCTCTTCTTATCCCACCCTTCCCCAACCCTCCCACCTTTGCCTTAGCTGTATCCAGGGGAGGCACCACCCTGTCCCCCTTCCCTTCTCTATGCCCTCTTCCCTTACTTACACCCTTTGCTGAGTCTAGCCTAAGCCAGGCCCCCTCTTTCTCCTGTCCTTCCAGCCCCAACTGGCTTCTCCCCATCCACCCTTGGTCCTTTTACAAAACTCCACCCTCACGAGGCAACACAAATGGGCTTTTCAAAGTGTAGATCCAACCAGTCATTGACATGGTGAATATTTCTCGAGCACCTACTCTGCACCAGGCACATGAGCAGACACACATACCTACCCCTTCCCACCGTCCTCACTGACCTCCCCTCCTGCAGTGCTCACTGAACTCTTAGCCTCGGCCCCACACTTCTCCCAGAGGAGGCATGGTCCCTGTCTTATGTCCCACCATGTCATGCCCCTTCTCAACCTCACTCATCACTCTGCCTCTCCCAAGGTCCAGTGCAAGGCCTGGCATGTGGCTGGAGGACCAGCTCAGGAGGAAGCAGCCTCACCTCCCTGGGTGTCTGGCTATTGCCTGGCAAGGCCCAGTGAGCCTCCAGCCCTCTGGGTGCTCCTGCAGGAAGCTTGGACTGAGCAGGACACTGGGCCACAGCTACCCTAAGGCAAACATGCGGGGGCGGGAGGGGGCTGCCCCACACAGCGAGCTCCCTCAGTTGTACCATCAAATGGCGGACTGCAGCCTCTGAGAAGGCTCAACCTGTTTCCTCCCATGTGCCCCAAACTCCACTGCTAGGGTCTGGCGGGGGTGGTTAGGAAGATCTGTCTTTTGCAGCACAGAGGACTACAAAGGAAGGGCATGGACTGCGGCAGGTGTGTGTAGGTCAGTGGGGCGGTCAGACAGGTTTCAGAGGCCCCAGGGAGCCATGGGCCAGCCTGCCAGGGGTGAAAATCAGTCTTGAGGTGGGGACTCCAGGGAGATTTGCTCCCTTCCCCAGTCTGGGAGAGTCACTATGATCAAGAAACACCATAAAGCCAAGAGCTCCGGCGTTTGCTCCGAGCTCAGGATAACAGATTCACAGATGGCAAACTAATCAACCCCAGCATCATGGCTCACAACAGGCCTAGAGGAGACAGAAATTCCAGGCCCAGAGAACAGCCTGGTGCAGAGGCCCCAAGTTCCTAATACAAGTGACCAGTGAGGAGCCACGGGAGGTTCACAGTACCCAGGAAAACGAGGGACAGCTGAGCCTCAGACTTAAGTCCTGAAAGGATTTCAGCAACAGGTCAGAAGGAAGATTTCAGCAGTGTGGTGAGTCAGGGGGCAATATTTGGCCCCGAGCACCAGCAGGACGAGCTTTAGAAAGCTCCCTGTGGCTGCCAGCATGGGGCCACACACCTCACCTTCTGTGGTCACAGTGGCATACATCAGAGCCGCGGCGGCGCTGGCCTGCACCTCCTCTGCCTTATCTTTCAGCAGATGCACCAAGATGGGGATGACACCATTGCGCCACACCTGGTTCTTGCCCTCCAGGGGGATGCTAGAGCAGAAAGGGACAGCAGGGGGCCTCTGCTTAGGAGGAGGAAAGAGCAAGGCCCAGGACTGCCCCTGGGAGACACAAAGAGAAGGACTTGTGCTGAGACTACCCTTGGTGATCTGGAATGGCCACCCTGGGTGCCAGTGGAGGCTATACCCAAGCCAGGGATGCCTGCACCTCACCCTGAGCCATCATGAGGAGAAGGCACGAGACCTGTTCTCTCTAGCACCAAAATGAGAGGGCAGGACCCACAGGTGCAGCCACAGAGACCTGTTTGACTCTACCTCTGAGGCAGAGGGCCAGGCCACCCCCAAACCTCCGCAGGCAGCTGCAGGTGGTTTAAATAGGTGACCAACCTCCTTCTGGCTCTGTATGAAGCTGTGAAAATGTGGGTGGCAGACTCCCCCAAGAGTTTCCCAACTTAGGAAGGCCAATGCTGCCCCCAAAAGAGAAGGGCTCCCTGGATGGAGAACACCATCCGTGCCACACATGCGCAAGTTGCAGGGCAACAAGGACCCTGTGTCACTGGCTTACTTTTTAGAGACAGAGTCTTGCTCTGCTGCCCAGGCTGGGGTGCAGCCCTAGAACAGCTTAGTGCAGCCTTGCACTCCTGGGCTCGAGTGGCCCGCCTCCCTCAGCCCCGAGTCACCAGGACTACATACCTGCACCACCATGCCCAGCTCTCCTTAATCAACATTTCCCAAACATAGCCGCCCAGAGGACCTTCATTTTTCTAGAACTCTTAATAATACCTCAAAGACACAGATGTCCCATAGGAATACAATTTGGGAAATGGAGTTGGCCAGTCACTAACTGTGACATTGCGAGGCTATTGAGCTTTTAGGGCTGTGGGCCCACCTGCTGGGATCCCCGCATCACTCATGCAGTAGCAAGTGACTGCTGAACACCAGGCCTGCCACGGGCCCTGCCAGTGTCTGCCCTAGCCCAGACACTGAGGCTACAGCTAGGTTTCTCCAGCTCAACACTATTGACATTTTGGACCAAATGATTCTCAGCTGGGAAGCCAAAGCTCCCCAGCAGAGAACCTTTGGTCTAGAATAGCAAACAGAGCAAAGCCCTGGTCTCAGGAGCTCACTCTGTAAGTGATACACAAAATCTAACTGTAGGGATGCTGATCAGGACCATCCAGGGTTGGGGAGGCCACAGTTTTATCTCACAGAAAGCTTCTGTCCTGCTCCCACTGGAAAGGGACCTCTGACTAAACCTCAAGAGTGATGGGGCTGGCAGAAATCTGCCTTTAACAGACCTCCCAGGGGCCTGAGTCAGGGGCCACACTTGCAGAAATACTGGCCCAGGCATTTAGTAAGACTCAGTGGTTCTCAACCTTCCTAATGCCACAATGTACTTTCATTGTTAAAAAGGGGTTGCAACCCACAGGTAAAGAACTGCTAAGCTAGGACCTAGGGAAGGCAAGAGGGGCACACACTAAAGGGACATGGCCACAGTTAAGGCAGGGACTCTGGGAGCCAGTGACCAGCTTATGCCCGACATGGGAACACAGAGACCCACCACCAGCTCTGTGGCTTGTGGTCCCTCAGGCTGAGTTTCCAGGCCAGCATGTAGACCATGATCCAATGTCACCCCATTGGACAAGTGACAAGACACCCCATGAGGGGAGCTTCCTCATCTGTAAAGGGAGACATAGCCTTTCTTGGAGGGTGTCTTAGTGGGATATTTGTAGGCACCTGGCACATGTAGGCCCTTGGTGACCACCGAGTACACTGTCATCACCTATGGTTCTACTGTGCTTGCCTTCCTCATGGACAGGGGAGTAGCCAACAGCCTTGTTTTGTCCAGGCTAGGGAGTTTCCTGGAATCCAGAGCACTCTCAGGCCAATGGAACAGAGGTCACCCTAGTAGAGAAGGCCATCTTCTGTCCCAGCTCCCTCCTTCCCCAGGGCATAGGCAAGCAAGAAGAAGCAGGCCAAGGTGGACACCCTCAAGCTCTGGGCCAGTGGCAGCTCAGCTGCCGTCTTTGCATCTTGGGAGAAATCCAAGGGGGTGGCCGCTCCGTCTGGCTCAGGCCAGGCCTCACCTGACAGCCATGAGTGTGTAGGCGGCCTTGCTACGGATCATTTCATTGCTGCTGAGGAGTTTCTGCTTTAGAAAGAGCACCACTTGGCTGCCCAGGGCCTCGGTGGCGTCCTCTTGCAGGCAATGGGCCAGCGTGTCCAAAATGAGCTCCTGGATCACCTCCTCTTCTTTCTGCAGCTTCCATACCAGCGAGGGGATCAGGCCGCTGCTGACGATGCCTTGGGCCCCTGTAGGAAAGGAAAGGGCACTGAGGTTGGGCCGACCACCCCCGACCTGTGCTGGTTGGGCGAGGCCTAGGAGAGCAGCTCACCCATGTGGGGACTGGGCGCACCAGGGCACCCTCCTCTCTTCCCTCCACTGCCCCAGAGTGTTGGGTAGCCAATCAAGCCCTTCCCACCTAAAACATCTCAAAGCTGCCGGAGCCCCTAGATTGGTCTGGTGGGGCCTTAAGAAGAGCTTGGACAGAACACTGGAGTATAGCCAATGTCTTATATACGAAAAAGAGCTACACCCCAACTAAAGGTGACAGGAGGCTCTAGGGTCTGGCCAAGGGGTCTGGGGTGCAGGTACTGCCAAAGACACACTGAGGTGCGCCCTGCCAACACGGGTCCCAGAATGTCCACACTTGACTGCCCAGAGGAGGACCCAGGACCCCAGCATGGGCAGCATCCCAAGAGGTCCCTGGCAACTGGCAGGCAGCCCTCCCAAGTCACCGAGATGTGCACAGGGAACGTGCCAGAGCTCCAGAGAGGGCAGCCCTTCCTCACACAAGCATAGCCCCTAGGTCCTGCCATGCAGCCAGGCCCTCCCTGCCTCCCCAGTAGCCCAGCTACCCACTGAGAAGCCATCCATGACCCCAGGAAGGTAGCCACCAGCAAACACCCCTCTCTTCCACCTGCCCCAGCAAAACCCTCTAATTTACTCTAGAGAGATAAATAAACAGGTTAATTAGCCTAAAGGTCTCTGAGTGCCAATTAGCACCAGGGATTGCCTCTTTGAAGACATCACCCTGGCCTTCCTCCCTCACTCCCTGAGGACATCAAATGGCAGGTGCCCAGGGTGAGGGGTGAGAGGCAGGGCAGGGTATTCAGTGGCTCCTACCAACCCCTAACCATGTCCCCTAAGGTCCAGCAGCTCCTACTGCCCTGGCTAGCTTCTCATTGGGATGTCAGAGTACAGCAGCTGGCTCTGCCCTATTTGTTCTCAGGGCATTCATGATGGAGGAAAAACAGTTTCCTGTTGCTTCGGGTGTACTGGGCTTAAGTTGTAATACACACAGATTTCCACAAAAGCCTGGGTTATACTCCTATATGTATCCCTTCCCAGCTGTGTGACCTGGGATGAGTTACTCAGCCCCTCTGAGCCTAGTTCCCTCATCACTGAGACAAGCCTACCCCGCAGAGGGGCCGAACACCACCAGTGGGGTTGTGGGTGGGAATGCACTTCACATGCCTCAGATTTCTACCCAAATGTGAGGGACCATCACTGTGTGTCCAGAACACCTACACTCAGGGTTGCAAGCATTGCCTGCACTCCACCAGCTACCAGCAAGGGCTTGTGGGGGGTGGGGGACCAGGAACAGGATGCAAAGACAGAAGCTGCACAATCAGAGCCCTGCAGAGCCTGTCCGTGGTCCCCAGACACCCCCCTGGGTGACCTGATCTTCTCTCCACCTCCTTCACCCCCCAAACTGGGCCATGTCAGGCCTCACTCCTGGCCTCCTGCACCTACCCTGCTTCCCCTCAGGTACTGCCACGGGCTCCTACTCACTCCAGGCCATGGGTCCAAATCACCCATGACCTAGATGGCCTTCCTCCAGCTAACAGCAGGAAGGTGACAATTTGACCTTTCTGCTGGCAGAAAGGGGGACACAGTTCTGGGCTGGGAAACACCTAAGCAAAGCCCTGGACGTGAAGAAGTGTATCATCAAATTGGGGCTTGATTGTGGCCTCCTTTGCACCTGGCTTTAAGCTTTCCAGGAAATCCCAGGGACAGGTAAGTGTCTTTGCTGGGGCTATCAGGAGCTGCCTCCCAAGTTGGAACAGGCACAGGCTGGGGGACAGATAGAGGAAGCTAAGGTCAGAAAAGTTGGACTATTAGAGGTGGTCACCTCCACTGTTCTCCCTTGGTGAGGAAACTAAGGCCCAGAGAGGCCACTGAAATGCCCGAGGTCACGCAGCAGATGGGGGCAAAGTCAGGTAGAGCTCTCGGCTCTTTCGGTTCTATTTCTCAGGAGTCTTGGGACCCTACTTCTGGAAATGCTCAGCCCTGGGACCCAGGTTCATTTTGAGGCAGAGGGAGATTAAAAATAAAACGCGTGCCGGGTGTGCCTTTCTGCTCGTTCACTTTGCTTCTTTTCAGCTAAAAGAAGAGTCCCAGGCCCGGCTATTTATAACTAACCCAGATCAGGGATGGCTTGTTCAAGTGGGGGTGGGGCATGAAGACCCCAGTGGGTCAAACTGGAGGAAACTCACCCAGCTGGGCGGCAGGCTGAGAGGCAATGAGGGTTGGAGTGGGGGAAGAACAGGTGGGGTACAGAGAGAAGTCAGGCAGGGTGGCATCTGAGCTGGTCAGGCCCTGGGCCACAGGAGGTTCAGAGACAAGGGAGGCACTCCCGTCCCCACTCTCAGGAAGTGAGGAGACCAGTGGAAAAGTAGGCTGGGGACAGGTCACTTCAGAACAAGTTGATGTGTGTGCTCTGACATGGAGTTTCAGGGTCCTGGGGCTCTGAAAATGCAGGATGGGAGGCCTGGGAAAGTGGGCCCTCATGGAGGCAGAGGCGAGTAAAGACCACCCGAAGGGCCAACAGTGTGTGTTTGGGTGGACCCCTGATCTGGCCTGGTGCATATGTAGGGGCCAGGATGGGCCAGTGGTTGATAAGCTAGAAAAAGCTCCTGGGACTGAGGGTGACGATGCCCATGGCTGGAACCACCTGCAGTTGTTCATTTCCTTAGAGATGAGCTGACACCACCTCCAGGGACCTTGGCCAGCTGTCCCTGAGGTGCTAGGCAGGTTCAGTCACCAGGGATCCCTATCTCAGGCTACTGCAGAGCCCCAGCTGTCATCTCCCTGTCAGAGAAGAATCAGGACAGAACACTGGCCCCCAGGTTCACTCCCAATCACTCCTCTTCCTTCCACGAGGACTACATGTCTGCATTTGGTTCCCTGGGTACACCATGCCTCTGGTGACCCACCTGTCCAGGTTTAGCCTGGTACAGCCCCCGGCCCTGAACTCCTGGCACACTGATGTCCACCGTGCCTGCCTTCACCTCTGTCCTCAGTTTACTTATCCTTAAGCAGCTGTGGCACAGCTAATTGCTTCTTCTTTCTTGAGATGTTCTCCTCCCATGGATCTGGGACCCTCCACCCTCTGGTTCCCAACCACCTCTCCAACTGCTCTTCCTTCTTTTGGGCAAGTACCATCCCTTTCTCCAGCGGCTCCTTTCATGCCACCTCCCTCCCTGGTCCAGCACCTAATCGTGTCCTGCTGCCATCTCCTGACATGCCTGTGGTCCAATGCCCACAATAGGCTCTGTCCTGGATTCACCCTGTGGAGGACTTCTCTGCTTTCTCATTTTCTCTGGACTAGTTGATATTTTTCTTATTTGATTATACCTAGAGGGACAACTCACACTGTGGGACCATGCCTACTGTAAACAAATATAGAAAAACTCTTGTCATCTTCCCTGGATTTTTTTTGTTGAGACAGAGTCTCTTTCTGTCACCCTGGGTAGAGTGCTGTGGCATCACAGCTCACAGTAACCTCAAACTCTTGGGCTCAAGAGATCCTCTTGCCTCACCCTCCCAAGTAGCTGGGGTTACAGGCACCTGCCACAACATCCAACTAGTTTTTCTATTTTTAGTAGAGACAATGTCTCACTCTTGCTCAGGCTGTTGTTGAATTCCTAAGCTCAAGCAATCCAGCTGCCTCAGCCTACCATGGTGCTAGGATTACAGACATGAGCTACAGTGCCTAACCTTCTTGAATTTTTTAAAAGGCTCATCTTAGGGCAACAGTCCACCCCCTCCCCCCACACACACACTGTTTAAGGCACCCTTGCATGCTTGCTGACCTGGGCCAGGCTGGTCTTCTAGGAGCTTTCCCAGGCCTCTCCCTGCCACATGCCCCCACGGCATGTTGGTTCTCCTCCAGCAGTGTCACATGATCGTAATGGCCAATGACTGGTCTCTTTCTGCCCCTGCCCTGTAGCCAGGAGGGTCTGCAGGCCACAGAGCTGGACTATAGCTGCTATATCTTCAACCTCTGCCAATGGTCAGTTGGAATGCTTCTGTTTAATGAACGGGGTGACCCACGTGATTTGACCATAAAGGTGTAAAGTAGGAAGGGAGGTGTTAGCTGGGAGGACATCTGCATTTTTCTGGGATGCTCTGGGATGCACAATGCCTCAGGTTACAGTGATGGAAATGACAGAGAACAACACTGATGTCTTGGTCCTCTGGCCGGAATCTTTTTAAATACACAAGTTAAGGGGCTCCTATCCCTGAGGTCCCCACATAGGCTTCGAAATTGAAAGCAGAATTTGTAGCTTGTCCTGATACATTTTTGCTGAGGGTCTGATGCCTGCTATGAGATTCCCAAAAGCACGATGGTGACCTGGCCATAAGTGAACTGGCTCCCTTCCACTTCTCTGGGCCAGGAACCAGCTCCTGGGCCCTTCTACCTCCCTTCCCTTCCCAGGCAACCTTTCCGCTAGGCCAGGACTACCAAGGACTCTAGGACTCCACACACTGGGGGATGAGAGCAGCAGAGATGACTAATGCCCCTCTCATGGGCGCACAAGCCTCACCGCTGTAATCTCCAGGGTTTGTACAGGCCTTTCACTGGTTCTAGAGTTTTGTTAAGACATTCCAGAAGGGAGGTGCCGCTAGCCCCACTTTGCAAACGTAAAGACTAAGAGAGGTCGGTTGCCCAAGGACGCAGAGCTCAGAAGAGGCCCAGCTGAGTTTGAACCCAGGTGGGGAGGTGAGCAGGGACACTAGGGTGGAGGGAGGCAGAGCCATCGCTGCGCTCTGGCCCAGACTGCCCGGCTGTCAGACGCAGGCCCCCCGGGTTGGCATCCCGGCCTCAGCGCAGCGCCATACCAGGGACGCCGGCGCGGGCAGCGCGTGCTGGACTGCGGTGCTCTAGCGGTCGCGGCCCCGCCCCTGTCTTTCCCTGTTAGACTAGTGGCGCGTCCGTCAGCCGTCTATGCCCAATGGACAGCGA